TTTTTCTTTTTTCTTTTTGCCTCTCGATCGGATTGGCTGTTTTTAAAATTTTTTAATTTATAGTTACCCGCTCTTTTGGCCTCTTGCCCAGGAGTCATGTATATTACCTATACGTACAAGCCCAGTCGATCGAATGCAAACTATCGAACTTGAAACGTCTCTGTAAAAGAAACGCCAGCAGCTTTGGCGTCAACAAGACAAATATAGTACTCCAGCTGTGTATGGGTACGTTTTAATTTTTTTTTTTTTTTTTTCTTTTACCACGTTCAAAGTAAACGCAAAGTACTGTGCCACGCAGATATTATAATGAAAGATTAAAAAGAGAGATCTTGTCTCGAGACGTTATACCTGGCTGGTACCTGCGAGAGCTTATATGCCGCGCGAGCCAAAATTAACAGAGTCTCGAAACACCAGCCTGTATTTTATAGTATGTATACTCGTCGTGCAGTGATCTCTTACCATGCGCAAAACATCTATACGTATATATACATTTGGAAAATCGGCTACCCTATACTCTAATTTTAACCCTTCCGTTCGAGCACAACAATAGACGCACCAAAGACGCGCGTGTATTTATATAATATATATATATTATTTAGCGCACACGTGAGTTAATATATCGCTACTCTGTATTATGTATACGTATACATGCGTCTCGACAGATCGGCAAAGTGCAGATGTAGTATATCTTGACGCGCGGAAGTCCATTGCCGATTCGCCGCGCTATTTGGCGCCTCTCGCTCGCATCACATCTTTTTTTTCTTCTTCCTCGTCATCCTGTCTATATACTCATAAATAAAATTTCAAAGCCGGCACACGTGATATCGTTATTCTAAAGCGTCTAGCTTATACAGGCTATTGTAACGTATATACCTGTACACGTGCAAGTGTTTCGACGCAAAGATATATATTATATCTAGTAAAATGTGTGCTCTGCACAACACATCAATTAGTCTTTTAACGAGCGCGGCCTCGAATATAAGTACGTGTATACGTACATAGGAGTGTAATTGTGGACGATCGGTGGCGCCGGCTTGTCGACAGTCGGGAGACACGGACGCGCGACGACGAGAAAAGAAAGGGAACGCGAGCTCAAGCTCTCCTCGTGGCCGATACCGATATATAGTTGTTTTTTTTTCTTTTTTTTTTTTTTTTTTTCGGTGTTTCGCAAGACCTCTCGCGGTAAGTGTGTATCTCCGTCCGTGGGTGTTTGTGTATGTGGGTCTTGCGGGATCGATCGGTCATTCATGTTGCGCGTGTGACCATTTCTTTTACATTACAGCGAGAACTTTTGTTTTCGATCGTCGATCATTTTTTGTTTTTAGAAAAATCGGCAAGTACCCAAAAAAAAAGTTTTATATAGATCGTTAAGAAAATCGGTACAAAAAAATCGGAAAACCTGTAGGTACAATACGTGTTATTAGCTTAGCCGTATACCGATAGCGAGCAACAATAGAATGTATATCGATTTGCATTAAATGATTATATCCATCGTCCGTGTACCCGCTCTGGTGCAATATGTGTTTTCTCGTACCAAACGAAAGTGTCGTGGTTCTTTCTTTTTTTCGTCATTTCTTCATTGCACCGCATGAGCTCCGTACATTACATGTATAAGGTGTTTATGTAACGCCGTAATAGAAAGTCTCGTTTTTTCGCTCTCCGGTCGTTTGGCAATCAATCCCTATGCACACGTTCGTCGTCGGACTGACAAGACTCTTGATTTTATTTCTTCAAATAAAAAGGAGAGAGGAGAATTACCGAACCAATTAAAAGTAAAGAAAAAAAAAAAAAAAAAAAAAAAAACCTTCATCGTACTACATGTTACGTGTATATTTTAGCCCCGAAACTGTAACGCGAGAGCTATATTTACCGCCACCCCGGCTTTTGTATGAACGAATCCGACTTTCTCGAATCTTCTTTTCTTACCAAAGCAACTACGTACAAGTGTGCACGTATACACACACACACACGAGACGAACAAGCGCGACGACCCTCTCGCGTTAAGTATCTCTTTCGAGTGTAAAAGTGACCTGCTTTTCCATGTACATACATATACCTACTGTCTGTTCTTCCCCTGCAGCTATAATATACACACACAGGGAGATCGGCTATACCTGTATACTGTTGAGGATGAAAGTCGCTCGCGAATTATTAATTACGTGTTTTTGCGGAAGCAGGAAAATCGTTTGACGATTCACTTCGGAAAACGTTGTATGTATGTAGGGAAAAACTGGCGGTGTTTTTTTTTTTTTTTTTTTTTTTTTTTCTCGTCGCGTACCAGTATTATTTTTGTCACAATAGAATTTCATCCCCAAAGGAATTTCACCGTGTGGCATTGATTTACCATGGAGGAATTTTTGGCTGGTCGCCTGGAGCCGGTCAGTCAACGCGTCGCTGTTATCTCGGGTTATCTCTCCACACTGGAAACAAACCGATACAACCTGCACACGTGTATAGCTTCGATCACTTTTTTGTGAAATGCAATTACTCACGTTTGTCCCTGTCGTTTTTTCGATTAATTTTTTAAAATTGAGTTTTTTTCTCCAAATAATTAAATTCCAAAGCTGCTTCGTCGAAGAAAACTATATTACGACTTTCACTGTTAAAATACGCTGTGCGACATGAGGGAAGGAAAAACAGTTAATTTTTTTCAAACACGAAATCAACTTACTGATAGAATAAGTGGCCCAATTATCGCGGTATCGAGCATTAATTTGTTTCTGGTTAAAGCCCGCAACGCAAAGATAAAAAACAAAACAGGTTGTATATAGGTGTATATACACGACAGTTACAGCGTCGCGGCGAAAATAAAATAAAACAAATAATCACCCCCTTCCCAAGCTCATACCCATCCGATTGTCCTCGGACACGCATGTGCATCACCATCAGGCGCTCTTCTTTTCTATGTTCAAAACAAAACTGACCTCGTTGGGGGGGTGACCCTCGACTGCACCCTTCCTCTACACTACACGCATTCATACAGAAAAAGCTCACCTCCAACCCACCCCCCCTCCTATGAATCCTTGATAGCTATGGATGAATGAACAAACATCGAGATCAATTTCAATTTTCTCATTTCGATCAACAGATGTATGAGTAATCAGCCGTCGTCTCGTACATACATATATATGCCTACAAACTTCCTTCCCTCTAGCTTCTCCTCTTTGGCCCTGAAGCGCGAGTAAGTATCGCTGATACATCGCAATAACTACGTATACGTATACATGTATAGACTCACCTGGTGCAAACTCGATCGGGGAATCGCATTAACCTTACGCCTAGTTACCGAGACACTCTCTACAACTACGACAATGTTGTGTGTTGTAGTTGGTAGTGGTATAGCATGCATATATATATATATATATAGGATAGCTCACGCTCGACTCGTACGTATATATATAGGGTATAACATTCTATTATTAGCACTGCTGGCGGCTATATTGCGCGTCGCGGAGCATATACATGTGTATGTGTAATCTGTTGGTATAAATGCATAGGGTATATACATATACATAGATATACGTGCACGAGTCGCGCCTCTGGCTTACCATTGGACGCGAGATCGACTCCCCACTCTCACACTCTTGTCTCCGTTTTTTATCGCCAAAGTGTCTGGTTTTACTGCGCTAATACGTAACAGCACGACTTTGTTGTTCCATTTTTTAGGAGGGGCCATTTTTTTTTTTTTTTTCTATACTTTATCCATGGGTATACGATTGTTAGTCGATCACGTATTGCGTGATAATTAGTATTTCGCAATTGTTGAGATGTAAAATTTTAATTGTTTACGAAATATATAAATAATAAAATTGGCCAATAATCGTCTGTATATCCGTATAAGCGCAAGTCCGTTTCGATCGAGTTTTTTTTTTTTTTCATAACAATTACCTCTCGATGGCCAACGGCGTGTGCATTTCGAGAGAAAACAATCGTTCGCGGAACTTTACTCGGAATATTATCTTTTCAAGCAAACCATCGGCGATTATCCCTTTCTCGAAATCTCCCTCGTTCCTTACAGATTGTTCATCGCCCAAGTATACGCGCGCACTTTTATTTCCTCCGCTCCTCTCTCCCTTGTTCTCTCGAATTCGTCACCATATTACGCGTCTTTTGTCCACTTATACTTACTATTGTTGCTTCGCAAAAACTCAAGTCAATCGTGTCACTGCAGCTGCTGCCGTTTGTCGGTGCGTATTGTGTACTACTTGCATAAAACGTACACTTATTTGTCTCGGTTTTTTCTTGAAAAGGTCAAACACGCGTGTCATTTAATCGCTCGTCGGGTGAAAGTGTTACGTTTTTGAAAGAAACGCAGTTCGCTACAATACGATGACAACAACAGCGCAGAGCATAATTATATACGAGCACGTGCGGGAGAAGGCAAATGAAGTGAATTTCGAAAACAAGCCGCATTTTTTTTTTTTTCCATTTGTTTTCTCGCATTTTTTCGCCTCGATTCTCACANTTTTTTTTTTTTTTTTTTTTTTTTTTTTTTTTTTTTTTTTTTTTCTTTTTTAATCCAAGTAAGTACCAGCTCGCTTTCGGAGTATAATCTACCCTCCCATGTCGTGTATGTGTATACATTGATCCTCGTACCTGCCCATATAATATTAATCATCTCGGATCGATGATCCATTAATCAAAAAGGCAAATATTAAACAGGAGTAAGTGAATAATAATAATAATAATAGTTAGACGAAATTTCTACCATACATATATAAGATGATGTGTTTCATCGTAGTAAGTACGTTAGCTAGTGAAGACACGTATATATATATATATATATATATATATATATATCACCTATGCGTGAAGTTCAACTTCTAGTACTTAAATACCCAGTCTGTGGAATGCTTAATACCACTACTTACACAAAGTGGTTTCTTTTACTTCTCACGTGGTATTTAGTCACGTGAAGTTGAACTTCGCCCTCCGAGCAAAAAAAAAAAAAAATACACATTTCAACTTATGATAAATGATAATAATAAACGTGGACTCACGAATGGAGAAGCCGTTTCTCTTGACGTTGCTCTTGTTTTTCTTGTTCTTCGAGTAGAGGTTGCCGATTTTGCTCTGTCCACAACCCATTTCTTCTGCCCAGCGCTTGAAGAGGTACACAGAGAGAGACGCTTCCGGGCTCCCCTCTCGTAAATTGGCTTTTGAACTTCGCCCTCAATCTTTTCGGAAAAAATTTTGCACGCACTACGTGTGGTTGTGTATCTAGAACCCGCACCGCACTCGAAATGGAGAAAACACTTTTTTTTTTTTTTGCTACATGTATTTATTCCATTCACTTCATGTTGCGTAGAAAACACTAAATTTCTTCGTATTCCATTTGTTGTTTTATATTTTGCCAAGTCGTGTATGATGTTTAAGTTTCCAAATGGTGCACAGGTGTACTTTAATAATTTTACGTTGATATGTCGCAGGTTAATTGTAAAAAGAGACGAAAGTAGCGAATATCATTCAGCTCTTTTGCTCTGAATCTACATCTCAGTCTTTTAGCGTTTGATCCGTTTTATTGTTGTCTTTCTATAACGTTAACGTCGTTTTTGTACAGTTTTTGCTTCCTTTGCTTCACGGGGGATATTATGTTCGCTATATATATATATACATTTTTACTATCACCTATCGTATTTTTTTTTTTTTTTTTTTTTTTTTTTTTTTTTTTTTTTTTTTTTCTTCAAATTTTCGTTGAGCTGATTCCCCGAGGCCAAATATATACGTATATGCTTGGATTGATTGAAATACGAAACGGCGCAGTAGAAAAAGAAAGAAAATTGATAGAGTCGGAGTGATTCACGGGCGGTAAGTATAATAGGATGGATAAAAAAAAAAAAACAGTTTTTTCTTTTTTTTTCTTTCGAGGCTGACCTTTCCTTGGTAATTTAATCTGTTTGATTGCCGAGTTCTTGCGACGACGATGATGATACGCCGTGTGGCCTTCTATTTTCGATTCGTCGCCTGTTTTTGGCGCGCAATGAAACCATTTGTCCCGATAAACGCGTCTTTGACCCAAGTGCATTAATAGAGACACAAGATAATCATCGTATGTTGTGCCCGTGAAAATATATACTTTTTACGTTTTAACGATAACCAAATATATTTAATAATGTGTCTATTGACGTTCGTTTTCTTTTGTTTTTTTTTTTATACACAAAGTTTAAATTTCGCTGATACGTCGAATGTCACTGTTGAATTGACGAATTGTAATGTTTCTATGTACGTATAATCGTTTATTGAGTAACGAACTTTTTAGAACAATTTACCCTCAAGGTAAAAAAAGAATTTGTTACAAAAAAAAGAATCCCTTGCATGAGTATTTGAACGAAAACTTTTTCTTAGCTTCAAAAACTCTGGGCACGATTATTTTGTTGTTATTTTCTTTCAAGCCGTACATACGCGAATTATGCGACAGACACACACCGTGTGGGCACATATTATGTTCACGAACGCGCACAGGCCATCTTTGATTGGTTAATCGCACAGAGTTTTTTTTTTTTTTTTTTTTTTTTTTTCCCCCTATAAAATACCTAAGTTCTCATCCATACCGACGAGTCACGCATACCAATGACGTCATGCGCTGTACCCCATGATACTGCAGCATCAACTCAATAATCTAGAGGGCATGAAAATCTTCNTTTTTTTTTTTTTTTTTTTTTTTTTTTTTTTTTTTTTTTTTTTTTTTTTTTTTTTATAACTTACATATGAATTAAAAATACTTCAAAAAATGTATGCAATGGTGACACTCTCGTAACGCAGTGAACTTTTTTGGTTTAATTTTAAAAACAAAACTATACAGTATAACGCGTAATTTAAACAACTGCATGTAAAACAATTTTTGATGAAAAAACAACTCACACCCGAAGAATAAAAATAAAAGTCACGTAGTTACAATCACCACGTATAATAATATATAGTTTCGTGGCAAAAGCAAGGACGTCTCTGTTTCTTCGCGTCTTGGCTCTTTGTGCATTGTATTCATCCTTCGGTATGATTATGATGTAACACCCTGCACCTGCAAAGTTAATTTTCGCGGAAAAAGAGTACCCACCGGCGTAACTAGTATCATTACAATCCTCTCGGACGAAAGAGCCAAAAACAGTAGACGACAAAACAAAATGAACCCTTTGTGACCCGTGATTAGCACGATAAACCTACACATACATGTACACGTGTTTTCCCATCTTTTTACCACCCGGGCTCCCTTATTCTCATTTGCAACTGCAATTTCAAGAATTTTTAGTTTGCCTCCCCCGTCCGCTACCGGGTTTCATAAACTTTTATTCCTCGCACGTATAGTGTATAATATATACACGCGCTCTTTTGTCCCTCTTTATCTCTGCTCTTCCCAACAAAGTTCGGCCGCGCCCTCAAAGCGGAAGTAAAAAGTTCCGACGCTCACGCCATACTTATCTCGCGACCGCACCAAAAGTTGTCAAGTTCCACTTGCACACACACACACACCTGCAATGTATTCGACATTATCACGCGATCCGGTAAACTGGAGTTGTTTCGAACATCACGTGCGCCCCAAGGTATTTTTCAAGTATTTGTTTGCGACGCGAGGTATATATAGTTTAACTATGTCATCACGTCATCGTGACCAAATTGACGTGTATATAACCACTCTCTTGGGTGCATGTCGTGTCTCTTTATACAATTTATTCATCGCGGTTTGAATTTCTTAGTGACGATAATTCATTCGCCCGTACAAAATGTGTGCATCAACGTACCCACACACGTGACCGATTGATTCCGGTATTGCCGTGCAGTATACATATCGATACATTTGCGGGGAAGTTAAAATTAATTCGCTTTATTGGCGCGTGTTCGATTTAAACTCGATCGGAGCGTGAAATTGAAAAGACACGCGTTGTGCAGTTTATACGAAGAAAAAAAAAGAGCGGTTGCGCACTTTTTCCTCTCCACTCCCCCCCCAATAACCCACCCACAATGGAAATCAATATTCGACATCAATGGATCGTTAATTTTTCAAACGAATGAAAAAGGGCGTTAATAATGCATTAGTAGTGACGTCCCGGTTAATTTTAACCCATAGAAATAGGAGCCCGCCGAGGTAGTATAGTCTGAGGGATGAGGCTGTCTTTCCCCCCCCCCTCCCCCCAATCTACCGATCAACCAAACGAAATATACATACAGGCTAATGGATGCTCTTTAAAAATACATTACTCGAACAATATATTTATACGGCATCAGGTGATGTACGCTTGTAAACCTCGTATACACACGTATATATATACATGATGTGCTCGACACGTTATTATACACGTATACTGTGTATAGACACTATAGGTGTACGAACGAGAGAAATTGGACAAACAAATCCAAGAGCCCACCCGCGCCCCACCCCCGAGGAAATAATAAGCGACGTCGACGCTTTTCTAACGCAAACGATACGGGTATACGATACGATACACACGGTATACGCGCGTTTTGCACATATAATAAATATAATTTCCACTTCCGCGAGTTGCGGGTATAGAGGAACCGCCATCCGTGATGAGTGTAGGTAAACGGGCGAGCAAGGGGGGGGGAAGGGCAAGGGGGGTGCTACTACTCGCATTGTAAGCCCCGCAGGGTGTCGGTCGGCTGCCTGATACGAACTAGGTCAAATTCCCCGTCTCTCTCTCTCTCTCTTTTCCCCTTTATCCCGTTTTCCGGGTGTGCGATGCAACTGTGCAACAATGATGTTGGCGCGTGCGTACAACACGCGCGAGTGGCGAGTGCAACCATCATCCAGGAGAGAGTGTTGCACTTGTCGAATGGGTTCCCTCTCTCTCCCTTTTTCCCATGATAAATCAAAGTACTTATCGGAGCAATCTTCTGCTACGGCTCGCTGCGTATACTTGTATAACGGCGATGACGATGACGATGGTTTAAACGTTTTTAAAGCGATCGGTAACTGAGCATGCGGGGTGTGCTTCTCTCTCTCTCTCGTCACTTGCAATCGTGTATAAGATAATCATGTTGTGTTGGTCAGAAGCACAATATATATATATATATATATATAAATATATTTGATTGACGGATGGCGGGGTGATAAGGACAAGACAGGGCGCGTCATCGTCAGGGGGAAGAAGAGGAACGAAGGCGTCGTTGACATTTTTTCTTTTTATTGTACTCCAGTCGTCTAATCTCTGCTTTCGAATCTATATTGCTTTTTCTATACGCACTTGCGCTCGTGTGCAAGACACAAGCTATTGTGGTCCGTTTGTGATACAACAATTGCTCTATACGATTATTATTCGAACAACTCGTACGATTATCATCGATTTACTCTTGATGGTCCAGTATGTGTATTTCCAGGGCGAAAAAAAAACAAAAATCGGCACTCGGTGCATGAAGTACAAGCGCGTCCACATCGAGAAGCCACGATTCCGGGCTACCGCGACGCCGAGCGATCCCTAGCTCTGCGCCTCATCCTCCCCATGTGTATGCATGTATATATACGTGAGCCACACGGCTATCACCACCAGCAGCCGCGCAAAAAACCTTCATTCCCATCGTCTCGCCCAGCGCCTTTGGCCGGGAATTCCAGCTCCGACACAATCGTCACACCCTTTTATACACACCACGGCTCGAGAAAACGCGCAGTCACGTAATGGCTCTCGGAGGATAGCTTCGGGTTTTTTTTTCGCCTCCACCCACGAGATATCCTCGCTACAAACGGCCCCCGTCTCCTTGCGACTGTACCGCCACCCGCGCACTCCCCGTGGCTGCATCTTTTACCCGCTCAGGCTATATCCCCGATTTTCGCCTCTTCCAGTCGGCCGGATGGACTTTCATCGCCGATGATTTCCCTCCTCTCTATCTCTCGCCCCCCCCCCGGGGACCGGTCGAACTGTCGGTGACCCCCTCCCTCCCGGCTTTTCTTTCCTCCGTCCTGTCTCTGACCGATGGACGATAATTGGCACTGTATACGAGGAGACGGTGCGTTTCGGATGATGAACGAGAACTGCTGCTCGTGAGGCCGGTGGAACCCTGAAAACATAAAAATACCAAAGCCGCGTTATTGTTTATCGAGTGTGCAATCGATTCTTGTACGGTTTTTGGGTGTATATGAAATGGCTCTTTGGTTAAATTGAAAAACTAGAGATGCATATAGACTCGGAGGAACTGACTACACTCGTCTAGCCCCAATTGTGAGTCCCCGTTACCTATACGCAATTTTAGGAACTATAGTACTTTTCAACTATTGCAGGTATGTTTTTGGAAGTACCGAGAAAAAAAAAAAAAAAGAGATTGGAAGTGGAAAACCAACCGAAGAAACCTTATTTATTGGTGTTTCAATGTAATACGAGGATGGTGATGGACGTATCGGAGGGCACTAGTAAGCCTCCAGCCAATCAGAGTCCTTAGTTTTTTCCATGCGTGCAGGTGGACAACAATGCTTCTGCACACATGTATATGTAGACCCCTTTGAGAAATTCATCCAAGCCACCCCCACCGTCCATTTTCGATCCCAATTATGAGTGGATTGTGCTATTGTTTGTTTTCGAGAGCTGTTTTCGTCAATGCGATGTCGAAAAAATAACATTGTAAATATATACATGCATGCATCTCGCTGTGGCGCAATTCAGAACAACAAGCAATATAACGGCTATTGATTTTCGATGATACAAGTAATTGGCTTCGCAGCCAATTTATT